TGTAGTCTCGCTATTGTTGCCCAGGCTAGAGTGCAGTGGTGTGATCTTGGCTCACTGCAACCTCCACATCCTGTGTTCAAGCAATTCTCCTGCCTCAGTCTACCAAGTAGCTGGGATTACAGCCGCCCACCACCACGCCCACTAATTTTTGTATTATCAGTAGAGACAGGGTTTCACCATGTTGGTCAGGCTGGTCTCGAACTCCTGACCTCAGGTGATCCGCCCGCCTCAGCCTCCCAAAGTGCTGAGATTACAGGTGTGAGTGACTGCGCCTGGCCTTATTAATCTCCCTTTCTAACAAATTCTCCCCATTACTTCCCACATTTAATATGTCAGAAGTTAAAATCCAAGAAGTAATGATTTCTACTTCCACTCATGAGGATTAGCTACTATGGAAACTATCTCCCTTACTCCCATTGTAAACGAGACACGATATATGAAGTAACTTTCAGTCACTGGACAACAGACAGCATTAACTATGATCCCTGAGAGAAGGTAACAAACCAGGTGAGCCGATGATTACCTAGCTTACTGTATGGAAGTGGCTTCTGGGCTGCAACACAGGGAGAGGAAACCCAAACAGAATTGGATGGTCTTGCTGAATGGAGGAGAGAAACTTTAGGGTATCTAAAGCAGCTAGAATTTGCAAGATTTGAATACTGGAACCAAGAAAGAGTGAGAATAGAGAAAGAGTTCTGTACTGAGAATGGTCACAGGAAATCTGCAGAGGGATCCCCTTGAATCCAACAAAAAGTTACCACACTTGGAAAGCAGGAATATGACTAATAACAAAACTTAACAGAAAAAGATCAAGAAATGACAGAGATGATGGAATTAGTGCATGAGGAACCTTAAACAGTTATTATGGCTGGGCATGGTAGCTCACGCCTGTAATCCCAGCACTTTGGGAGGCCAAGGTGGGCGATCACGAGGTCAAGAGATAGAGACGATCCTGGCTAACACGGTGAAACCCCGTCTCTACTGAAAATACAAAAATTAGCTGGGCACGGTGGTGCGTGCCTGTAGTCCCAGCAACTCGGGAGGCTGAGGCAGGAGAAACACTTGAACCTGGGAGGCGGAGGTTGCAGTGAGCTGAGATCGCGCCACTGCACTCCAGCCTGGTGACAGAGCGAGACTCCGTTTCCAAAAAAGAAAAACAAAAAAGAAAAAAACAGCTATTGCAAGTACACTAAAGGGTGTAAAGGAAAACATGAACATAATGGATAATCGACTATATATGTAAAAGACCCAAATCAAACTTCTATATGTGAAATATATCTAAAATACCAAATTCACTGGATGGTATTAATAGCTGGCTGAAAACTACAGAAGAAAACATCAGTGAACCTGAAGATACAGCAATAGTAATTATCCAAAATGAAACACGGAGAGAAAAAAAACGAGGTAGTTGGGGTTGGGTGGGGGGATTAAAGACAGATCCCCCTTGTGGGACAATAGTAATCAATTTAACCTACATAAGATTAGAGCCCAAGAGAGAAAGAGGGACAAAAAACCTCATGAGTAGCTGGGACTACAGGTTCTCACCACCACATTGGCTAATTTTTGTATTTTTTGTAGAGATGGGGTTAGGCCATGTTGCCCAGGCTGATCTCAAACTCCTAGGCTCAGGAAATCCACCCACCTTAGCCTACCAGAGTGCCGGGATTACAGACATCAGCCACCATGCTCAGTCTGTTCTTAACACTATGTGACTTGCGCAAATAAAAATCTATCTGATTCATGGTTTTTTATCTGTAAAATAAGGCTAATATCTGTCATATCTATCACACATAGTTATCAAGAGCTACAAATAAAATTAAAAGGGTTCTATAAACTGAAAGCTAAATAGCAACTTGACTAAGAATAATTAAATATTTAGGGAGAAGGTTGTTAGACCAATGCCCATTCTTTTTTAATCAAATGTATTTCGTGAGTGGCCGGGCATGGTGGTTCATGCTTGTAATCCCACCACTTTGGGAGGCCGAGGTGGGTGGATAACTTGAGGTCAGGAGTTCGAGAGCAGCCTGGCCAATGTGGTGAAACCCTGTCTCTACTAAAAGTACAAAAAAAAAAAAAACTTAGACAGTCATGGTGGCTTGCACCTGTAATCCCAGCTACTCAAGAGGCTGAGGTAGGAGAATCACTTGAACCCAGGAGGACGAGGTTGCAGTGAGCTGAGATCGCACCATTGCACTCCAGCCTGGGTGACAGAGTGAAACTCTGTTTCAAAAAAAAAAAGAACAATTACGTTAAACCATATGAAAATGTTTTTATAAGTCAAATATGACGAAATATTGGTAATTTCTTATAGTTCAATCTAACAGAAATGAAGGAAGAAAACAATGCCTAAAGTGGACCTAGCTAGTGGGGGAGGAGAAGCAATGGGAAGGGCACTGGGAAATATTTTGGTACAGAAAATTCCCAAATCACTGAATATAAAATATTTTCCCAAAAATAACACTTACATATAAGCCCTGTAAACTCTGAAGCTGTAACTCTGTACTCTCCAGAAGCCCACACCACTACACTATTTATCTGTGGTGTGGGGCAGCAAGATGTGTATGGGGCCAGCACGAAGGAGAGGCAAACAGGTTGAGTATCTGGGCTAAAGAATGGGAATTTCCACAAGAGAAAGGGAAGCACACCAATTTCTTCTGACTTCTGCCCTGATTTCTCCTATTTCACATACACTTTCAAGTTGAAAATGAAAGTATACCAATAGTAAAAATTCTTGGCCGAGCGTGGCGGTACACGCCTGTGGTCCCAGCTGCTCAGGAGGCTGAGGTAGAATTGTTTGAACATGATGGGAAGCAGAGGTAGCAATGAGCCGAGATCCAGCCACTGCACTCCAGCCTGGGTGACAAAGTGAGATTCTGTCTCAAAAATAAATAAATAAATAAATAAATAAACAAACAAATAAAAGTATACCAATAGTACAAATCCTTGAAACTTCTTTTTTGTTTTTGTTTATTTTTTTGAGATGGAGCCTAGTTCTCGCGCCCAAACTGGAGTGCAGTGGTGTGATCTCTGCAAGCTCCACCTCACGGGTTCATACCATTCTCCTGCCTCAGCCTCCTGAGTAGCTGGCGTACGCCACCACGCCCGGCTAATTTTTTTGTATTTTTTAGTAGAGACAGGATTTCACTGTGTTAGCCAGGATGGTCTTGATCTCCTGACCTCATGATCTGCCCGCCTCGGCCTCCCAAAGTGCTGGGATTACAGGTGTGAGCCATCACGCCTGGCTGATGTTTTTCTTTTTTTTACAATTATAAGAAGTTTCAGTCCAGGCGCCATGGCTCACGCCTGTAATCCCAGCACTTTGGGAGGCTGAGGCGGGCGGATCACCTGACGTCAGGAGTGCGAGACCAGCCTGACCAACATGGAGAAACCCCGTCTCTACTAAAAATACAAAATTAGCCGGGCGTGGTGGCACGTGCCTGTAACCCAGCTACTCAGGAAGCTGAGGCAGGAGAATCGCTTGAACCTGGGAGGCAGAGGTTGCAGTGAGCCGAGACCACGCCATTGCACTCCAGCCTGGACAACAAGAGCAAAACTCTGTCTCAAGAAAAAAAAAGAAAAAGAAAAGCATCACCTCCACCGGACACACCAAGAGCTGCTATCAATACACGTAATAGTCAGGTTCTAATAAACCTACCAAACTCAGAGTTTTAAAATGAAATTGTGTCAAAGTAGGGCCTTTCTTGTTAAAAAAAGAAAAATTAAAATATAAAAATATGAAAATGAAATTGTGGACTTTCAACTATTTCAAAACTCTGCTGCCTAGTTACTTCTGAAAGAAGACTTACAGGACCGGACGTGGTGGCTCATGCCTGTAATCTCAACACTTTGGGAGGCCAAGGTGGGCGGATCACAAGGTCAGAAGTTTGAGACCAGCCTGGCCAACATGGTGAAACCCCGTCTCTAGTAAAAATACAAAAATCAGCTGGGCGTGGTGGCATGCGCCTGTAGTCCTAGCTACTCGGGAGGCTGAGGCAGAAGAATCACTTGAACCCGGGAGGCAGAGGTTGTAGTGAGCTAAGATCGTGCCACTGCACTCCAGCATGTGCAACAGAGCAAGACTCCATCTCCAAAAAAAAAAAAACCCGAAGACTTACACACCAAAAATTATTTGCGCTGTCCTTAAGGTATGGCTAAGTTTAGTATTTATATCTTAGTATTACAGACTGCTTCACAGGCCAGAGAAATGTTCCAGCCTTGACAATGAGAGCAAAAGGCCTTACACATTACTTTCCATCTGAAAAGTCACCATCTTTTAGAAAAATTTCAGTAGTTTTTGAATTTATCTGGTTTTATACAGGGAAAAAAGTAGTCTTCTGAACTATCCTTTTTCCCCTTATACATGAGAGCAGAGTTTTCCTTTGATAGGCAGTATTCCAAATTTGGCAAAACTTAATTCCTTTACCCAGAGGATTTACCCCTTCAAAGTGTACATTTAAATACCATGCATGTATGTATGTATGTAGAGATGGGGTCTCACCATATTGGCAAACTGGTCTCAAACTTCTGGCTTATGCGATCTGCCACCTTGGTCTCCTAAAGTGCTGGGGTGTGGGCCACTGTGCCTGGCCTTCTGTAATTTATTTACTGATTGATTGAGATGGAGTCTTGCTCTGTCACCCAGGCTGGAGCGCAACAGAGTGATCTCGGCTTACTGCAAACTCCACCTCCTGGGTTCAAGCGATTCTCCTGCCTTAGTCTCCTGACTAGCTGGGATTACAGGTGCACGCCACCACACCTTGCTGATTTTTGTATTTTTAGTAGAGATGGGGTTTCCCCATGTTGCCCAGGCTGGTCTTGAATTCCTGACCTCAGGTGATCCACTCGCCTTGGCCTCCCCAAGTGCTGGGATTATAGGCGTGAGCCACCGCACCCGGACTGTTTATATAAATGTTCTTGACCTTATTCCAAAGCTTTATTGGAGACGCTTTGGAAGGATTATATAAAGGGTGTGAAGCATTCCAGTTTATTTCACATTTCTCTTAAGGCAGCGAACAAAAAGAATTATCTTGAATGATCTCACCTACAACAACAAAGGGGAAACGGAAGACCATTTATAAATAAGAAAACTGAAGGTTTGAGAGATTAACTTGCCCAAGGTCATAATAACTGGTAAGTGAGCTAGGATTTGAATCCAGGACTGCAGTTCCAAAGCCCATTCTATTTTTCCATTTACCACAATGCTTTTCCTCTCATCACAAGCTTCACATGACTATAGGACCTTATCTCTTCTGGTTTTACATCATATATAATAGGTGTGTCCTCAGTAAATGGTTGCTATCGTTTGAATGTGTCCCCCAAAGTTCATCTGTTGGAAACTTAATCCCCAATAAAAGAGCTGAGAGACAGGACCTTTAAGAGGTGACCAGGTCATGAGAGCACTGTGGCCAGGGGGGTTCTGATAAAAGGATAAGTTCTGCGCATTCCTTGTGCAAGCCCACCCTTTCTCTTGCATTCTCTTGTCCTTCCACATTCTGCCATGAGATGATGCAGCAAGCCAGCCCTCACTAGATAGGGCCTCTCAATCTTGGACTTCCCAACCTCCAGAACCATGAGCCAAACGAATATTTCTTTATAAATTACCCAGTCTTGGGTATTCTGTTAGAGCAACATGAAATGGACTAAGACAATGGCACTAATTAACAGATGGCATGATATTTGTTCATGATTAAAATTCTCCATTACACCCCTTTCTTCATCGTTGAAGTTACTGTCTACTTCATGCTGTTTGTCACATTACAGAGCTGATATGGCCAGTGTAATTATTTTGAGAGTTCTGTTAAATGACTTGCAGGGCGGTCTTTCTTGTTTAAACTTAAAGTACAAGTGAAGTACCGGAGCATTTTTTTTTTTTTTTTGGAGACAGAGTTTCACTCTTGTCGCCCAGGCTGGAGTGCAATGACACGATCTCCGCTCACTGCAACCTCCACCTCCCCGGTTCAAGCAATTCTCCTGCCTCAGCCTCCAGAGTAGCTGGGATTACAGGCATGTGTCACCACGCCTGGCTACTTTTTGTATTTTTAGTAGAGATGGGGTTTCACCACTTTGCCCAGGATGGTGTGGAACTCCTGACCTCAGGTGATCTGCCCGCCTCGGTCTCCCAAAGTGCTGGGATTACAGGTGTAAGCCACCACACCCGGCTGGTACCAGAGCATTTTTAACACAATTTCTTTTGCTATCATTTTTTCAAAACTTGTATTTCAACTGATTTAGAATTTATATTCATATTCTCATGGTTAATTTTACTCACTTACCATTTCACTTCATTGCTTATCATGCTTATGATTTTAAATATATATAACATTTTTATTTTTATTGCTGTTTTTTTTGAGACAGAGTCTCACTGTTGCCCAGGCTGGAGTGCAATGGCATGATCTTGGCTCACTGCCACCTCCGCCTCCCAGGTTCAAGCAATTCTCCTGCCTCAGCCTCCCGAGTAGCTGGGATTACAGGCATGCGCCACCACATCTGACTAATTTTTGTACTGTTAGTAGAGACAGGGTTTCGACGTGTTAGCTAGGCTGGTCTCAAACCCCTGACCTCAGGTGATCCGCCCACCTCAGCCTCCCAGAGTGCTAGGATTACAGGTGTGAACCACCACGCCCAGCCTATCACATTTATTTTTTAAAGAAACACAAAAACATTTTAAGAATTTGTTTTATTTTACAAGTGTATAGATCCAGGATTCAAGTCAGCACCCATTTTTACTATGATTCACCCTATCAAGAATCCTAGGTGTTATTAGAGCCTTTAATAGGAAAATGTACAGGTCCTGTAAATATCATACATTCAGTCAAACAAAATTTTCTAATTTCAGTAAAATTATTAAAGCTGAACGACTACAGATGTCTGGTTCTCTTAAGTCATTGTTTTTAGATTCCAGTCCACACTCCTTGCTCCTTCACACTCTATTTTAATGCAGATACAAAGGGTAGCACTGGCACAGTTCTGAGGGCCATCACTTAGGGTTCTTTCTTAAGTTTCAAATCTAACGCAACCAAATTAAGATGAGTCACTAACTGACCTCTAGTTTTATCAGAGTATTGTTCTCAAGTTGAAGGAGCTAAAGCACCCCTTACAACTCACAAATTAGGCATGCAGAAGATGAAATCTACTCATTAACAAGATTAGGAGGCTTTTGTTTTGTTTCATTTTGTTCTGTTTTTGAGACAGACTCTCACTCTGTTGCCCAGGCTGGAGTGCAGTGACGTGATCTCAGCTCACTGCAACCTCCGCCTCCCAGGATCAAGCGATCCTCCAGCCTCAGCCTCCATAGTAGCTGGGACTACAGGTATGCACCACCATGCCCGGGGTAATTTTTGTATTTTTAATAGAGACGGAGGTTCACCATGTTGGCCAGGCTGGTTTCGAGCTCTGGACCTCAGAGGAACTGCCCACCTCAGGCTTCCAAATTGCTGGGATTACAGGTATGAGCCACTGCTTCCGGCCTAGGAGGCATTTTAAAGTAGTTCAATTAAGAATTTAAGGCCAGTACGTTGGCTCAGGCCTGTAATCTCAACACTTTGGGAAGCAGAGGTGGGCTGATCATGAGGTCAGGAGATCAAGACCATCCTGGCTAACACGTCTCTACTAAAAATACAAAAAAAAATTAGCTCGGCGTGGTGGTGGGTGCCTGTAGTCCCAGCTACTCAGGAGGCTGAGGCAGGAGAACGGCATGAACCTGGGAGGCGGAGCTTGCAGTGAGCCGAGATCATACCACTGCACTCCAACCTGGGCAACAAAGCAAGACTCCGTCTCAAAAAAAAAAGAATTTTATTAACATGAACCAACAATTCAAGAAGAGTTAAGAAGTACTGAAAGGCACTAGGTGCGGTGGCTCACACCTGTAATCCTAGCACTTTGGGAGGCCGAGGCGGGCGCGTCACAAGGTGAGGAGATCGAGACCATCCTGGCTAACACGTTGAAACTCCGTCTCTACTAAAAATACAAAAAATTAGCCGGTCGTGGTGGCGGACACCTGTAGTCCCAGCTACTCGGGAGGCTAAGGCAGGAGAATGGCATGAACCCGGGAGGCAGAGGTTGCAGTGAGCCGAGATTGCGCCACTGCACTCCAGCCTGGGCAACAAAGCAAGACTTCGTCTCAAAAAAAAAAAAAAAAAAAAAAAAAAAA